TGAAAGTTACAGTGCTTCAAATATGTAGCTCACATTGATTTCAAGTTAGGCTTTTTATCATTTCATTTACACTGAACCATGTACTTTCTTCTGCAGTTTACCTGATGGTCTTCCCTGCTAAATCAAGGTAACAGGATGTGCACAGGAAAAAGAAAATTGCAGGGGGGAGGGGCAAGAGCTACAGGACCTTGGACAGCAAATGTCTAAAAGGATCCTTATCAGAAAAAAAATACCCATTTCTTTAAATATCCAACTTGCTCATGCTTGTAAGATGTCCAAAGAGAGATTGCAACATTTTAAAACACAGTGATGCTATTTTAAAGCAGAGATTACTAATATGGTAACTGTAAAATCTTGCCTTCTCCCTCCCATCCCCAAATTCTAAGGATGGTCTACTAAAATAACCAAAGAAGCTTCATGTAAGCATTAGAGCAGGGGTTGGCAATCTGCGGCATGCATGCCAAAGGCAGCACACAAGGCAATTTTTATTGGCACACTCTGCCAGCCGGGGTCCTGGCCACCGCCCCCACTCAGCGGGCTGCTGGCCTGGGTGAACGGAACGCCGGGCTGGCACCAGGCTGAGCGGGGCCAGCGGCCGGAACCCCAGACTGGCGGTGGGCCGCTCAGCCCGCCACCAGTATATTAAATTTCTCCCCATAGGAATGTGCTACTTGCAGAGCACCAGGACTGGCAGCCGTAAGTAGTACACCGTATGCAGCACATTCCTACGGGGAGAAATTTAATACACTACACCTGTGTAGGGAAGGCTGTGCCTCCCCAAACAGCCCACCCCCATCCGCCCCCTCCCACTTCCCGCCCCCCCAACTGCCTCCCTTATAAACCCTGACCCATCAACCCCCCCCTACCCCTTATCCCCTGACCACCCCGTCCTGGGACCACCCGCCCCCTAACTGCCCTCCTCAGAACCCCCCACCCATCCAACCCCCGCTGCCCCTTGTCTCCTGACCACCCCCTCCTGGGACCTCCCACCCCTATCTGCCCCCCCGGGACCCTACCCCCCATCCAAGCCCCCCTGCTTCCTGTCCTCTGACTGCCCCGACCCCTATCCACACCCCCAACCCCTGACACGCCCCCCGGGACTCCCATGCCTATACAACCCCCCCGTTTCCCGTCCCTGTTCCCCATCCCCTTACCATGCCGCTCAGAGCACCAGGAGTGGCAGCCGTAAGTAGTACACTGTAAGTAGCACATTCCTATGGGGAGCAATTTAATACACTACACCTGCCCCGCTCAGCCTGCTGACAGTCTAGAGTTTTCAAAATATGTTCTCGCACCCCTTATCAAAAATTACACTACAATTAGCTTAAAAACCTGAAAACTTTAAAAACTTTGTATATTACAGTAATCATTAAAAATGTATAATGTTAATAAATACATAGTTTTGATGAAACAAAGTAGTTATACTTATGTGCCTGTGCTTAATTTGTGTTTTCGATGATTTACCTTCTAAAATAATCTCGCATGTCTTGCACCCCCAGAAAGGGCATCTTGCACCCCCAGGGGGTGCGTGGAGCCCAGGTTAAGAACCACTGCACTAAACTGATAAGATCTGTATTTTAATTTAATTTTAAATGAAGCTTCTTAAACATTTTAAAAACCTTGTTTACTTTACATACAACAATAGTTTAGTTATATAACACAGATTTATAGAGAGAGACCTTCTCAAAACGTTAAAATGTATTACTGGCACGCAAAACCTTAAATTAGAGTGAATAAATGAAGACTCGGCACACCACTTCTGAAGGGTTGCCGACCCCTGTATTAGAGGAACAGTCTGCTAAGTGGTGGTTTTTTAAATGTAAGCATTTAAAATATAAATATTTCACTGCCCTCTCCTTTTATTACAAAAAATGGAATTGGACTCTTTGTTTAAAGTGTATTTATATTCAGAAAAATGTCGAAGTGAAAATGGCATCTTTTTATGCAAAACATCAGCTCCTTGTGTTTCCAAGTCATAACTCCACTGACCAAAAGTAGTTCTTCCTACAATTAGAGATGCAGAACCAATACTGCTATGGAATAGTGACCTGGATTTTGTTCTGTTTCATGCACCATCAACAAAACTGTCAACCAACTCAACTGCAAAAACCTTTATTGCTGGAGATGTCTGAGAAGGAAAGAACACAGCTTGATATTTAGATCCCAGGATGGTTCTGCAATGGTGGACTTCAGATCAGTCATTAGTCATTTGTGTACTAAATACACTGAATTCAGAAGTCCACGAGAGAATAAATATGGAACCCCCCCCAGAATTTCATTTTTACAGTCAATTTTCAGACAATCATTTTCCCAATGTTCCTCTTGTAGTACCGGCTCAGCCAAACTAGTAGAACATGCAGTTGCCTAGAACAAAAATGTTACCTAGAGAAATAGACACAGAGTCGTGCAGGGGAAAAGGGGTATATCCACAGCATGGTCTTCCCTTCTCCACAGCACAGGGTAATCCTGAATGCCTGCACAAGGGCAGGAGGGAGATGGGAACAGCAGGTCCCAACCAAAATCAGAGGTCCCAGCCAAAATCAGAGTCCCATTATGCTAAGCACTGTCCAAACACACAGTGAGAGGCAGTCCCTGCCCTGAACAACTCTTAGTCTAACTAGAAAAGATAAAGGGTGGGAGGGAAAACAGAGAGGTGGAGAAATGTCTTACTCAAAATCACACAGTGGCACAGTCAGGAATAGAACTCAAATCTCTCAGCTCCTAGACCAGCACTGTATTCCCAAGCCCACCACACTGCCTCCCAAAGCATGGGAAAACCAACAAGCCAACAAAAACACAGACGTTTGTTTTCATACAAACATCTGAGGTAGGAGTTAACTATAAATACACAAGCCTCTGAAGAAAAGCTGCAGTGCCAGAGAATTCTAGGTGACTAATGCCAATGTTTCTAACTGCTTCCATCGTGGTTATGCGCCTGTTTCACAGCAGCACCACATGAAGCCTCTTCTCCATTTCATTCTCTGAAGCTGAAACAGCAAGCTTGTTCCTGCGGCTCAGTAGTGTGATACAGGTGTTGTGAGAGAAACCAGAGAGAAATATTCATGCTGCTCAGCTCACAATTCATTTGTTTGATAATAGATGAGCTCTGCACACCACTTGAAAGAAGCACCTCTGTCCAGAATGTTAGACACAGCATCTTCGTGGGTTATTTTAAAAATATAATGTTCTTGTCAATCATTTGGCCTGGGGGCACTGAAAAGTCTCATTCCAGCTCATTTATACCCCAATGTCAGTTCATCTGCATCTCTGGCCAGAGATATCATTACTAACGTTTAGCTTAAAGGATAAAACAAAGACGAAATGCATTCAACGAAAGCTTGGCTACAATAGATTTCTCATTGCTTTTTGAAAATATGCCTTTCCCCATAGTATAGCTCTGCAATATCTTTCTAGTTAAACTAAAAAATGGTGTGCTTTTACATTCTGATGCAAAAATTCATCCCTCTAACAGCGTCACTTGCTAGAGTTCTAACCCCATCAAGCCCTTCTCCAGCCAACCTTGCCTCCGGTCCACTTTTCATTTAAAAAGTAATAAAGCTGACATGGAAGCAATAGCTTTTGTTCTTTCTTTGCACTGCCACTTTCATGATCTGCTTGGAAAATGCAGAATTGTGGGGGAAATGGCATCACAGTGTTTGACACTTACAGTGTTGCTCCAATTCCCTATCAAATGTGTTTATTTTTGGAGAGGACAAAAATGTTGTCTCATGATCAGACCCACAAACTCCAGCTAAGATCTGACTCATTTTGGCTCAGGCACCACTAACAGTCAAAGATCCTATAGAACAAATGCAACCCCTCCCCCCGCCCCGCTCAAGTTAGGCCCTCCATCACACCTATGCAACCCTCTCCTGTTCTAAGGAGTTGTTAGAGGTACCACCAAGGATATAATTTGAAGACCGTGGAGGTTCAACAGTCAGCCTATAATTGAAATTTAGTTAATTATCTTGGCACACGAATCTAGGTCACTCACCCAGAGTTACGGTGGCTCAGTGGTGCTGGTGTAATCCATGTTATATCTCCTCTTCTACCATATCTATTACTACTAGCACCCATCTAGTTCCTGAGGTAGAGGTCTCATGCTTTTAGCACTGAAGATCTCTGATTCAATCCCTGCTGATGGCTCAAGTTGGGGTTTATTATACTTGCAGTAGTAAAAAATAGCATTTATTTTTGTCACTAAAGGCGAGAGATCTGACTGTGATTGGCTCCCTCTGCTACATGATGCCATTTTTACATAGTCCTTTTCAGAGCAGAACTCCCTTTAAACCAAGCCTTGCACACAGAGATGGCTGAAGATGCCAATGAAAGGTGAAGACCATCGACAGCTGAGAAAATGGCACTGGCTCATTTATGGGTCCAGAAAGTTCCTATTTTATGATTCAGTTTTGGATAATCAGCTGAACATTTAGATGCTATTCTGACCTGAACCCTCAATACTATTTGAAGTTTGACCCTCACAAGGGACTATAATTAAATTACTTTTATTTAAAAAAAAACCCAAAATAAACCTCACACCAACCTTAATTTAGACTCCTCCTTCCATCTACTTCATCAGGTAACAGAACATACTGAGGCTGGTGATAAGAGAACATGTTCCTTGATGCAACAGAATAAGAAAACCCACCACCAAACCATTCCTAGGGATGATAAGGTCAAAGTGGTCTATACATTTTTGATTAAGCTGAATTGCTTATGATACACTTTCTAACTGGCATCAATATTAAGCCATTACAAAAAAAAATTTCTCAAAAAAAAAAAACCAACCAAAAAAACAACCATTGAGATCAGAACCTACAGTGAGAAATGAAGCAAATGCTAGCCTGTTAACGGGAAATGTGGAAAAGCCTGCAAAAGTTACACAGGTTCAAACCATGCTAGCTCAGGAAGGATTCAGTGCCATTTATCTCACAGTACACTAGATCACTCAAACTCTAGTCTAGACCTCTTAAAGTAGGGGGGGATTTTGTGCATTTTACCTGTCAAACGATGGCTTCTCTCCACAGTCAAATGCATCTTGTAACTCTTTGACAAGGTTAGCCTGGCCCGGAAGTCGAAAGAGCCCTTCCTCCTTCAGCCCCCGCAGTCGGATAAAATCCACACACTGCTCCACCAACATGGGAGCCAGACGGTGCCCATATCTCTTCTCGTACCGGACTGTGTCTTCCAGCTTCTGTCCAAAGATACCTATGCATAATAAGGAGAGACATGAGTGGGTTAAGGGAAAGGTAGCATTGGAATGAACAAGGAGGGAAGTCAGTGCATGAATGATTTGTACCACAAACAGCCCTCCTTACAGATTAGTCAAATATAAGGATAGTCAGCTCCTATATCCAGGGATAAAGAGCTCCATTTCACATCTAGCACCCTTTATAAAAAACAATACACCACTGTATTTTACCATAATGGCCCAAAACACAATTGTAAAAGTATCATGAACCATTGGTACAGAATACTGTAACTTTTAAAAATAAAACACAACATTACCTTCAAATCCTAAGGGGAAAGCAACACAGGGACATAGAACTCTGTCACAAAAGCGTTAAACCCAAGATATTACATACGTCCCTGTTTACACTTTGAGCCGAGGTTAAGTGTATGTGGCCATTGAAACAGCTCTAATATCACATCTAAGGTATATGAACTTTTTTACTCTTATTACACTCAGGGTAAAACTTTCAAAAGGCGCATAAGTGATCTAGGAGCTTAATTCCCATGGACTTTCAGTGAGAATGGAAAATGGGACTTTGACAGCTTTTTTGAAAATTTTACCCCCAGGGCCAGATTTTCATAGATGTAAAGCAGCTGCAGCTCCTACTGACCTCAGCTGGAGTTGTTGGTGTTCAGCTCCTCTGATTCAGACCATAAGTAAAGTACACCCACCCCTCACTCCTATAATTTACTACAAGTTGCACAATTACTTTCTTTTAGAATAACAACAAAACATGTATGTGAGAAAGAGCAGGTGGTGGCATAATATGCCAGACTGACAGCCTTGAAGACTAATGCTTGTATTGATCCACATGGCAGGAAAGCTATGAACAGCAACAGTGCAAGGTTGCTCATGAAATGCACTTCAAACCTGATCTGGAGAAGTAACTACCTCTTCCCTGCTATTAATGGCATCTCCAACTCCCTTCAAACCTTGGGCCCTTCTGCCAAAGAATGTCATTTGTGATGGTTGTTTTGTGATAGAATCATAGAATAGAATATCAGGGGTTGGAAGGGACCTCAGGAGGTCATCTAGTCCAACCCCATGCTCAAAGCAAGACCAATCCCCAACTAAATCATCCCAGCCAGGGCTTTGTCAAGCCTGACCTTAAAAATATCTAAGGAAGGAGATTCCACCACCTCCCTAGGTAACGCATTCCAGTGTTTCACCACCCTCCTAGTGAAAAAGTTTTTCCTAATATCCAACCTAAACCTCCCCCACTGCAACTTGAGACCATTACTCTACCACTGAGAACAGTCTAGATCCATCCTCTTTGGAACCTCTTTGATGTGAGCATCTGTTTCCTAGCAAGAGGGCTAAAGGGCACCAACACATTTCATATACAGAGGGACACTAAACAACTTTCAGACAGGAGTTGAATTCCAAATAATGACCTACAGTTGAGAGACTTTCCTTTCATATTACATAAGCCATATAATGAGAAAAATCCAATAGGTCAGATTCTTCCCTTTGATAAGCATGCACAGCTCCAGTGACTTTAAATTTTTTTTTAAATAAAGATTCAAATTAGCAAGTGTTTGAGTCCACTTTCCTTCTTAAACTAAATCTAATCTTTAAAGTTTGTTTTGTTTTTGTTTTTTAAATTGTATTTATTTTCACTAATATACCATAATAAAGAAAGCTGGTGGAAATTCTAGTTTCTGTGTCCAGCCACGTGATTCTGGGATAGAGGAATAGCAGAGTTCTGATTTCCACTGTCCCTGCCTAAGAACGCTACCTGTTGGTAGGTGGAGGGGGTGGAATTCTCTCTCCTAGCCCCCCTCTGTGCATGTTGCAGAAATGCCAAACGGGAACCATCAGCAGTTACAGAAGGAATATTTGAATGTCACAGTTAATGAAGCTTAGAGAAAGATTAACTGGCACAGAAAGTTTGGTGTCCAGCCAGGTCGCCGTCTCAGCTGCTAGCACTCCATAGAAACTATGTTTTTTATTTATTTATTAAATAATGTTTTGGTTTCTAGCTCGCTCCATGCGGAGATGATGGGAGGATTAAACATACTTGTGGTTTTTGAGCTAAGGATTGCTGTCTGGCAGAACAATGGAGTTCCTCCACTCCCTCCCTGGTTCAGGAGGAGTGCTGTCCAAAGGAGCTCAGTTGAAAGCATGTGGTGATATCACAAAGCACACAGCAGCGTCAAGGTTTCAAACCCCATCGTGCTCATGGGATTGTACCCAACTCCACAAGTCAGCAGCTCTTGGTGACCTGCTGAGTCAGGGCCTTGAGGTAGTTGAATGCAAATTGGCTAATTGGCTGCATAATTTTCACAAGCCAAGGGAGAGTTTTGATTTATTACTGGGCATAGTTTGATCTGGCCAGACAAATATTGACCCTAAGCCTTGAAATAAATCTGAATATTTGTCAAAATAGGAAAAATCGTAGTAAACTTTTAATTTGTTTAGAATTCGGCATATCCTTGGGACATATGGGGTGGGGTGAGACAGGTCAGGAAATGGAAATATCAAAAGAAGCACAGTTTCCAACCTGGGCCAAAAGAGGCATCTCGTAACAAAGTCGTATTCTTATTAGATTTCTAGCTTCAATTTCCACATAGGCTTCAAATCATAACCGAAAACAGCAATTACTCCCCCTTTTAGAAGCTGCCTATTGTTGAAAATAGGAGCTCATTGTTAGTAACGGAGATGAAACTGAAAAATGTTTTGCTTTGCATGAAATTAACTAATCTATTTTTTTTCACATCAGCCTTGTGAAGTTTTCTGCACTGCTCTAGCCATCTCTACCCAAGGCCTTCCCTGATAAAGATATGCTATGAGCAGACAGTCACTCAGAGTTCCTCCTTCACCAACAGCCCATAATATTTCATGGCACTAAACAGAAGATTCAACACTTTTGAAGTTAAATTAATCAGCATAAAAATGTGGACTACAATTATATACAACTCATGCCTGTTGAAAATACAATTAATATGAACGAGCTCTATCTCATTAATTGAACTTTTTTCTCACTCCACTAATGTTCTTCTGATTCATGTTCATATTACAGGCCTGCTTACATCTGCACAGAAAAGAGAAGTTCTCAAAGCCATTAAACTGCTTATAGTTTCATATTTGCACTGACAGCATTGTCAAAACACATAATTTCAGGTTAATAAATTTATTAGGTTGCTCTTCCCCCCCCTCCTGTGGAATTAGCTTTCAAATCACGTCTAATCTGAAATGAATGAAATGAAAATAGGGTTTTTGAGGCACTGGGGAAAAATGTTTCTATATTGTTATAAATTGCAGATGCATTGCAGCGCAAGCTCTGGTATATTGAAAGCAGCTGGCTGCTGCATAGTATTAAGATGCCCATAACCAGCTCTCAGCCAGTATTGCTGAGTACAAACAGAGAACTAAGAGGGGCTATGATAGATTTAAAATCGTGACTGGTGGGAAGAAAGTGGATAAGGAAGTGTTATATACTCCTTCACATAACATAAGAACTAGGGGTCACCCAATGAAATTAATAGACAGCAGGTTTAAAAACAAATAAAAGGAAGTACTTCTTCATACAATGCACAGTAAACCCATGGAACTCATTGTCAGGGGATGTTGCAAAGGCCAAAACTATAACTGGGTTCAAAAAAGAACTAGATAAGTTTATATAGGAAAGGTCCATCAATGCCTATTAGCCAACATGGTCAGATATGCAACCCCATGCTCTGGGTGTCCCTAGCCTCTGACTGCCAGAAGCTAGAAGTGGATGACAGGGGATGGATTACTTGCTGATAACCTGTTCTGTTCATTCCTCTGAAGCATTTGGCATTGGCCACTATTGGTAAACATGATACTGGGCTAGATGGACCATTGGTCTGACCCAGTTTGGCTGTTCCTTTGTTCTTAAATTATTTTCTCCAATATTTAAGTCTATGGGCCAGATTTTCAGAAACCTTTCTTGCATAGTTGCATGCATAGGTACACAGTTCACATGTGCAATTACAGCATTTTTGTGAACCAACAACCTGTTAACTAGACCAAGGTAATTGGTTATTTGCATGTGCATCCACAGTCAAGGCCTGACCCAAAGGCCAGTGAAGTTAATGGGTGTCTTTCCATTGACTTCAGTAGATTTGGATTGTGTCGTAACGATGCACACAGTGTTCTGCAAATCTGGCCCATAGACTTTCATGATGATTTCTTTTGGAAGAGACCTTGTATATGTAAAACACAGTTCAATTGGCACAAGTGAAAATGAGCAGAAATGGCTCTACCTGCATCATTCAATCCCCTGCCCGTAAACAGGGTGATTTCACTCATGTTTTCCGAACAGAAGAGTTGTTGTGCCAAAACATACAGAAAAACTGAAACAGCTGAAAGTCTCATTTCTCTACGAGAAGCCTGCGGCACCACTAAAGTCAACAGTCTGCACATTAATCTGTTAATCCTTTTCTCAAATTCTGAACATTCCTCGAATAGTTAAGCTCATATGGAGGGGCAGACAGCAATGGAGAAGTAGCTTACACCAACCGGTACATAACATGTATGTACATAGACACATATGTCCTGTCTCAGCCAGATTTTCAGAGGTGCTGAACAGCTCCAATTTTTTATTTTTTAAAAACAAATCTATCAGCAATATTTAAATCTAGGGCTAGATGTTCAGCACCCTTTGTGTGCACAGATACACAATTTGCATGTGCAATTACAACAATTGCACAGCACTTGTGAAAAAAATCAGGCCCTCTGCCTTTATTGCACTGGAAGAACCATAGCTAGTGCTGCTTCCTCCTTCAGGGCATATCCTGTTCACCTTTGCCTGTGTGGGCAAAACCCCCAGAGCAATGGAGCCACCTTGTTACTGCCGAACATGGTGGGCAGGCGGCAGAGCACCCATGCTGGGAAAGATTGGCACATGTTGAAGGTCACTCTGTGACAGTTTCGTAGTAGGCTAGGAAGGGGACAGATGGGAGCACAACCCTGGGACCTGCAAACTATGGGGAAATAAGGGCCAGATCCAGTTGCATGTAGCAACTTGCAGCCTTAACTTCATCCCACTGGGGGGAGTGGCTAATGTTTCTGCAAGTTGGGTGAAGAGAGGATTCCAACCCTATTAATCCCTGTGTGTAACTCTTAACTCGTGCTTGGAGTGCGGATGAGAATTTCCATTCATGTACTCAGAGTAGTTCTTAAAAACAGCACAAAAATGTCTGTGAAACGCTTCTTCTCAGATTCCAAAAGACAAAGTTTCCTTTTTCTCATCAAAGAGTTAATTTATTTTTTTTCTTGGTGCTGTGACTCCTATTCCGTGTCACCTCCTACTCAGATTTTTTTTTTCTCTTCTAGCTTTACCTGCTGATGCATTTTGAAAGCCAGCTTTACCTCCACAACTACCATACTTAATCATTAGGATTATGTACAATGTAGAATTAAACTTGCTTTAATAATGTTTCTGCAGCAAGTGGAAATGGGAGTACACGCTGCAGTGAAATAGGATGAAACAAAGCAAGGCAATGATATGCAACAGCATAATGCATGCGTGGAAATCCGACATCTTTGGATCCAAGTATTTGGACACCTGGACAGATATAAATTCTCTCATCCCCACCCCTCATGCAGGAATAAGTGTCAATCAGACCTGTTCTTCCAATTTTGCAAATCTTATGGCTGACCCTGGGTGTCACAGGTTCAACTCCCTCACAGACTATTCATGGACTGCTGTACATAGAATACAATGCTACAACTACAAATAAACAAGGAAATTAATAAATCATTCATGGAACGTCGGCATTCTTATTGTTTCATGCCCTTTGTTTTGGGCTTCTCGTTGGCGCTGAATACACAGCCCCCTCGACCTCTCAGAATAAAAGGCTCTAACAGCAAAGCACAACACAGTGACAAGCTGTACATACCTTTGCGAAAACTAAAGCACCGTTTAATTCTCCTATAGGTAGTTTTAGGAATGAAAGGAGCCGATGCTAAGGCCCCTGAGGTGCGGACCCCATCATTTCTATCTTCAGGCATCATGCAGGCCAGAGTCCCAGTATCAAGCCAAAGCTCTCCTTTAGAAGCTGCATCCAGAGGAAAGACTGTGACTGTTCATTCTTATTGATTTATTGGGGGGTTTTAATGGTGCATTTTCATCTAAAGTTGGAGGTTTGTGATCTTCTAGATCTCCGTAGTGTTTTTTTTTTTTTGTTTCCTTCCCTGTTTCAATTCTGCTTTGGGAAGAATTTCCTTTTGTCTTTTTATTTCCTTTTCTTTTTTTCCTTTTATTTCCTGTGGTGAGACAACTAGCTACAATGCAATGTCACAACAAAAGAATTTCAGCCAAAAGATGCATCTTCTGTTCAAATGGAAGTGTCTGTGGAAGAGGGGTATGTGCTGGTGGGGGTGAGGAGGGAGAGCTCTTCCTGTCAGCTGGAACTGGGGGTAGAGTGGCAGGGGGCTCAAATTCCACTGGAAAAGGTCAGCACATCGTAATGTGCATGGGGGAAGAGAGAACAATGACAGAAGGGCCCCTGAAGAATTCTCCAAGATACTCCTTGCTGGCTCCTTTTATCTCTATAAACAGGGAACAAAAATAATGGCACCTTCGCCTGAAAGACTCTCTGTCCATAATGGATTCTTTTCAAAGTGCCTTCCTCCGTAACCGCCTCCCCTTCTGATGTTCTTGTGGGCTTCCCAGTTGTTTTGTTACCTTCAAACTACCAGAAGCTCTTGTGGGAGAGAGGCATCAGATGCAGCGGCGTTGGCCGAAAGGTCCTCGGGATCTGCTGAAGAATACAGGCTTCCACACGGGAGACGCTTTGCTCATTTCCTCCTTTTACTACTATTCTCACTGGAGGTGTTACGAATGCTGCTGCTGCTGCTGCTGCTGCTGCCTTCTGCTCCAGCCAGTCACATACAGCAGGTGCAGGCAAAACAATCTAAAGGAGGGAGCTGCTGCAACCTTGATTTTTTTTTTTTGACTTTGAGTTGACTTCAAGCCACTGTCACGTGTGCCAGCTTAGCAGGCAATAAGCCTCAGCCCTTCTGGCTCTCAAGAGGCTCCAGCCCTTGCTCTGCCTTACCCCCTTGTACCTCCCCCCCCACACACACACTGCATTAAAACTCTGTTGTTTCTTCTTCTCCTCTACCCCCTTCTGTCACTTTTATTTCTGTTTTCAAGCTCTGCAATCAAAGCTCAGGCCTTTCCTTTCTTTAAAAAAAATTGCCTTTTTAATCTAATCAGGAAAGGAATTTCATGTGCAAACAAGCATTAGAAGTGCTGGCTGATTTTTCATTTATTTATTTTAAAAAAGAACGTTCTCCGTATTCTTCCTGCTCTTTTGGTTAAAAAAACAATCTTGTTCAGAGCACCTTGGTAGCTCCCCACCCCCTTTCCCATTCCTAGTACCAGTTAACAAACAATAATTTAATGATCTGGTTAATTATTTATAGATCTGCTTGCTCCATGACCGGGATACCTTTCCAGTCACCAGCCAGACCCTAAATATTAGTGATTTAACAGGGCTTATGCTCATATGCACAAACACCTGTGGAATACACACAAACCTTGTTTATAATACTCAGAAAATTGATGATTGTACACGACTACCACTCTGAAACCGGTCTACATAAAACTACGTTTCACATCAAACACACAAATAATTTGGTAAGACAGGGCTCTCGTGATTCATTGTATTTTGTGCTAACTTTAGGCGGCGGGGGTAAAATGGGTGTTTTCCTTTTGATTAATTGGTTGGCTGAGTTTATTTGTTTTCTGTATTTGATTATTTTTATGCTGCTGGTTGGTCGACATTGTGATTGTAAGTCTAATTAATTGTTAGAATACCTACAGCTTTTGGATAGATAGATTTAAACAACAATTTTAAAAAATCCTATCTAAATAACAATTATAAACTCTGAGGGCACAGACTTTGAGCTTGACTCATTTGATATCAATCACTGAAGTCAATGTTGATTTACATCAGTTGAGAATCAGTTCACTTATACGGTATTTATTTTCTCTGTGAAGCCTTATGCATACCTACGGAATTAGATAGCAAGTCCATTAATAATAATGATGATGATGTTAATAACATGGACCCTCATTCAGCAAAGTTAGTCTGTTTCAGGTTTGTTCTGGAGTAATTTATACAGAAAAAGAGTAGGAAATACACGTGTTGAGTTACATATTGTCACAAAACAGCCAAAGAGACCTGATTAGGTCTTCTGGAGTTTCAAAAGTTGTACTTCAAATGAGAATCAGTTAAACAGACAGGCAACTCTCTAGATGCGCAATTCCCAGAGGTCTCCAGGCCCCAGGATACTGTCCGGTATCCCTGTGTAAATACATTAGAAACCTAAAACCACTCAAGATTGTGAGGCTCACTATCAACATTTGTGTCACAAATAGAATTCTCTCAGGAATGTTTCTCTGGTCCAGGATGGAAATCCTAGTCAGTGTGTGTCCATGCAGAATAGTCAACAGCCTGGTGGTCAGGGCACGGACGTGGGTCTTGGGGACCCAGGTTCAGTAGAAACAATTTTCAAAGCCTCAAAACTTTTCAGGAAATAGAAATTTTGTTTTCTGGCCAGGACTTCTCACAATCATTTACCTCACTTTTTCTGATGATTTGCCCACTAGAGTGAGACTCATTTTGTTCAAGAAGGCCAACATGAAAATGACATTTATAAAAGGCTTCAGTTGAATTAAAAATAATTCAATTAATAATTAATTCAAACAAACAGTAGCTCAACAATTATAGTCTCCCACCATGCCCAAGCCTTAATTGGTATTATGCAAACAATGAGCCTCATGTTTCAGAGTAGCAGCGTGTTAGTCTGTACCGCAAAAAGAAAAGGAGGACTTGTGGCACCTTAGAGACTAACAAATTTATTTGAGCATGAGCTTTCATGAGCTACAGCATCCAATGAAGTGAGCTGTAGCTCACAAAAGCTTATGCTCAAATAAATTGGTTAGTCTCTAAGGTGCCACAAGTCCTCCTTTTCCTTTTCAATGAGCCTCATGTTCAGCTCTGCATTTGCACCAATAGATGGCACTAAACATTATTACATTTGTGACAGTATCATGCCAGCTTCTGGGGTGCATCCAGTGGTTTCCATATGTAAATCCAGTCTCACCAAAGTCCATCTTACGTCATAAATGGCTAAGGCGCCAGACTTGGATTCAGGAGATCAAGGTTCTATTTCTAGCTCTGTCACAGACCTCATGTACAAACTTGGGTAAATCACTCAGTGTCACTTGGCCTCAGGTCTTCCCCTGTACATTGGAGATATTTCCCTACCTCACAGGGGAGTTGTGAGGATAAAGACATTAATATATGTGAGATGCTCAAATACTATGGTTGTTGAGATCATGTAAGCAGGTAGATTCATAGCTCTCCTCTTCTCAAAACGGTACTGCTTGTACCCAAATGTGTTTTGCCATGGTAGCTGACAGTGATTTTGGGTTGGAATATAAAATGGGCCTATTATAGTTCAATATACTGACTGGTATAAGACAGATTTTTTTTAAAAACAACGTCCTGTGTAAGGAATCACATCTAGAGTGCGGGCCCTTCCGTGCTTATCATGTAGGTCCCAAATTCCTTATAGGCTAAAGGGACATCTTTTACCATCCCTTTGGCAGGCATTTTCTCTAGGAATCCCCAAGCACCACTGAAGGCATGTTTGAGACTGTGCCAGACAGGCCTCCTGCTGATAGACGGTCACAGGGCAGTCCACCAGGCAGGGGGTCAAAGTTTCTGCCCAATATGAAATGTCTGACCTGGATAGAAGGTGAAGGAAGGTGTGTGGTTCCTTTGAAAGATTTTGTTAAAAATTATCATTTCCTTCAGGCTCAGGCCTCCTCTAGTTTAACTAATAGGTGGGAAAGGTGATTTTCAGCCAGTAAGATCAATTTTCTGCTACAACAACTGTTCTTTTCTGTTGCAAAACAGCATGAACAGTCTTGCTGAGGTTCCAGACATTGTTTTCATAGCCAAACAATAATGGTGACAAGAGAGAAGTTATCTGGTTTAAATACAGATGATCTCATCTAATGGGAAAGTAGCCCCCATATCCAAAAGTAAGGGCTTAAGTGCCCTGAGAAACAATATGATTAATGTGTAAGCATTTTGCTTCCTGAAATGATGATAATAGTATTATAGATAATAGTTGCACAGTGGTGCCCCCTCAGTATAAGGGGCCTTTCAAAGACAGCAGGTGTGCTGGACAGACTGAGTAGGGCCATTTGCCTTTTCAAGATTTCTAACCAGAAGGAACAACTTATACACTTAATGCCCAAATAATGCCACAGGGCTTCTAGTAGTGTCCACTGCGTTTTATACAATATTATCAATCAGATGCAGCTTTCAGGCTTTGTGGGACCATAAATGCCAAGTTCTTGTGACAGGTACAAATTCTAATTGAATTAGACACCAAGATGCATCAAGATCCCTCTCATCTTACCCCGTGTGAAACAGCCTTCTCCATCAGCAAGGACTAGAACCAGTTGACCAGCTGTAGGAGTTGCTGAGAAAGTGTGTCCATGATTGTGTTGGGCAGAGATGAATACACTGTATTTGCCCATGTATTTTTGTTTTGAAATCCCCCAGTACCTAACAAAATGTCTTTTTCTCAGGAGCCTATACCATTTTTTTCTTCTCCTCATGCTAATATAAGGTGACAAGACTGAATCCACTATGTGCGCTGACTCCATTCTGTGCTTTCTGACTGCAGCAAATACAACTGCATGCTGAACAGAGAAAGGAGTGGAAAGAGAGCAACAGGACTGACACAGTGGTGCTGGAGGCCCCTCACTAGCAGCCTGCTCACCTAGGTTGTCATTGGGAACAGACAGGCATCCAAATAGACACAATAGCACGTAAGAACGGCCATACTGGGTCAGACCAAAAGTCCATCTAGCCCAGTATCCTGTCCTCCCACAGTGGCCAGTGCCAGGTGCCCCAGAGCGAAAGAACAGAACAGGTAATCATCAAGTGATCCATTCCCGGCTTCTGGAAACAGAGGCTAAGGACACCATCCCTGCCCATCCTGGCTAATAGCTATTGATAGACCTATCCTCCATGAATTTATCTAGTTCTTTTTGAACCCTGTTATAGTCTTGGCCTTCACAACATCCTCTGGCAAAGAGTTCCACAGGTTGACTGTGCGTTGTGAAGAAATACTTCCTTTTGTTTGTTTTAAACCTGCTGCCTATTAATTTCATTTGGTGACCCCTAGGTTCTCACGTTATGAGAAGGAGTAAATAACACCTCCATCGTTACTTTCTCCAATATGCCATGTTGCATTTTCATTCTGTATCTTTTTCGGAAGAATATTTTCGGTATTGGGAAGAAAAACAGGACCCTCTTAGGTGAAAAGAATGGCTGTCTGATTAAGAGACAGAACTGGGGGTCAGGCAATCTGGGTTCTATCTTCATCCTCTGTGATCATGTGTAAGTCTATTCAGCAGTCTATGCCTTACTTTTCCCCACCTGTAAAACGGGGATGACAATACTTCCCTACCTCACAGAGAGATTTTAAGGCATATTTAATTAATGTCTGTAAAGTGTGTGGAAATCTTTTGGATGGGGGAGAAGCAAAAATATTTACTCATAATATTAATGCACGTCACCCCTAGGGATTATCTCAGTCTACCTTATTCCCTAGGTGACAAACTGCCCATGAAGGACTGACTTCACCAAACCAATTTTCCTAGAAACCTCTATCATGTTGCGAAAGATGAATGGGAAGTACTTGGTCCAACTATTTTAAAGCATCTGGCTCACTCACTGTCTTTTCTTCTTCACTAGGACCTAAACACACAACAATATGTATCTTTTTCCTGGGACTCTTAAATTTTCTCTCCTGGACTCACCTCCTCCAAAAGGTGCCCATATAACCCTGCGAATGGATTTCACCCAGTCCTCCATGTCATTCTGTGTGCTGGCCATAAGAAGGTATGTCTCATGATGAGCTGTCATCCGC